ATATATATATATATATTCATTCATATATAAATGTATTAACTTAATACCCATAAAGAGCTACATATACTCTCCTCAGTCTGCAATGATAAAGCAATGCCTTTATATGCACATATGTATATATATATATATATATATATGCATATATATACAGTAATATTATATTATTGTATTAGAGACAAGTATATATATATATACATATACATAAATATATATATATACATATATATATATATATATATATATTTACACAATTAAATAATTGGCTTAATTAATTTGATATAATTAAATCAAATAAATACACCTCAATTAATTTAACCAATTTAATTTAATTTAATTAATTTAATTAAATTTAATTTGTTTTAATATAATTTAATTAATTCAAAGGCAACTACAATCCCCTCTTCTTCTTCCACGACTTGTGCATTTAATAGATAGATAAATCTAATCTAGCTAATTTAATTTAACCAATTTAATTTAATTTAATTAATTTAATTTAATTAATTTAATTAATTAAATTTAATTAAATTAATTAATTAATTAATTAATTAATTAATTAATTACTTGATGGACTAATTCAAAAGCAATAGGTATCCCATCTTCTTCTTCAAGGGCCTGAGCAGTGTTCGCCGCCATAACTGCAAATTTGTCGTGACGCAGAATATATAAATTGCTGCTTCCTATAAACAAAAACAAATTAAAAGAAAAGAATTTAATTAAATACTTAATTCATTTAAAAAATATATAGACAAAGATATACATATATATATATATATATATATGTTATATATATGTTTGTATTTATAGCTGTACTTCGATTTGCACTTCTATCTATATTATATTTATATTTATATTAATATAATTAATAGATTTGTTATATTTATATCTGTATTCATGTATGTTGCTGTATACAATATATACATGTACACATACTATATATATATATACAGCAGCAACAGGAGCAGCAGTAACAGCAGCAGCAGCAGGGGCAGCACCAGAGCAGCTACTACCCGACTAGGGACCATAGAAGCATAGGGTTTAGGGTTTAGGGTTTAGGGTTTAGGACCAGTGGTTTGGGGCCCAGGCCCTGTTACAGCGTCTTTCGTGATGAGAGCGACAAGAAGGCCGTCTGCAGACCAGTACACCGCAGTGGGAAGCGCCTCGATGCGGCGAATTAGCCTGCACACAAACCCTAAACCCTAAACCCTAAACCCTTAACCCTAAACCCTAAACCCTTAACCCTAAAACCCTAAACCCTAAACCGTAAAAATGAAATCCTAAACCGTAAAGCCTTAGCCCTAAACCCTCAAACGTAAAACCTAATCCTTAAACTCTTAACCCTAAACCCTAAACACTGAAGTGTAAACACTAGGAACAAGGCTGCCGTGAAGCGAAGGGTTTAGGGTTTAGGGTTTAGGGTTTTCTAACCTGTAACTATTCCAGTCATAGAAGCAAATGGCGTCTTCGCTACGAACCCCCAGCAGAAAACCTCCAAATATCTCCTCAACAGCAAACGGAGGCGTGAAGTTGTAAGCCTGCGCCGCCAAACCCTAAACCCTAAACCCTAAACCCTAAACCCTAAACCCTAAATATCCTAAACCCTAAATATCCTAAACCCTGAAGCTCGATCGAACCCGCGAGCGTAGGCGTGAAGCCTGAGGCTCAAGGTAATATGAAGAGGTGCCACAGCTATCTGCACGGATCCAGGCAAATGAGGGTTTAGGGTTTAGGGTTTAGGGTTTGCGTCTCTCGCCTCCTCGAAGTTGCAGTAAATTTTAATTCTGTTTTCCTTCTCTAGCACTGCGTAGTGGTTCTCTTGAGACCAAACTAAATCATCTCCAGCCCCAAACGCTTTGCTGCGCAGGGCCTGCATGTAAAACGCATGCACAAGGATGCAGCAGCAGCCTAGGGTTTAGGGTTTAGGGTTTACGGCTTAAGTTTAGCCGTTCAGCCCCTACTCCTTAAACACTCCCTCGACAACTCACCCCTCTCCAACAGCAGCAGCAGCAACAGCATCAGCAACAACAGCAGCAGCAGCAGCAACAGCATCAGCAACAACAGCAGCAGCAACAGCATCAGCAACAGCAGCAGCAGCAGCGAGAGCCTACTTGCGCAGTGTATATGACATATTCTCCGTCGCCTACAACAGCGATGAATCTCCCGTTGGGATGGTGCGATATACTTTGGGGGAAAATGTCTAAACCACAAACCCTAAACCCTAAACCCTAAACCCTAAACCCTAAACCCTAAACCCCAAACCCTAAACCCTGAACCCTGAACGGTAGAGCCTGAGGGGTGCGGCAGAGTGATGAGGGTTTGCGAGGTGAAGAGGAGGTGCGTTTGCTTGGAATGGATGTTCTAGGGTTTAGGGTCTAGGGTTTAGGGTTTCGGGTGTATGCGCACCTGAAGTACCGATCTCTTTCGAAGGGCACTGCACCTTCTCTCCATCTGCTGCTGCTGCAGCAGCAGCAGCATCAATTTGTTTTAAATTAAACTGCAGCAGCTCAAACCCTCGTGCAGCGACAACCTTGCCGGTATGCGCAGACACCACAGGGCCGTCCTTTCCCATCTGCGCAGCAACAAGCAGCAGCAAACGCAAACAAACCATCTGCTGCTGCTGCTGCTGCTGCTGTTGCTGTTGCTGTTGCTGTTCTTGCCGCTGCTTCTGCTGCTGCTAATGATGATGGTGCTTCTGCTTCTGCTGCTATTGTATGCAATGCTGGCGGTGCTGCTATCCCTGTGCCCCTCCTGCTGCTGCTGTTGCTGCTGCTGCTGCTGTGCTGCTGCTGCTGCTGCTGCTGGTGTTTGGGGTGTATATGGACCTTCATAACAAGAGTGCCGGAGTCGGTTGCAATAGCGAGTACGAGGCAGCCTGTGTCTCTTTCTGCTGCAGCATTTGCTGCCTTAGCAGCAAAACCCCACACTCTTTGAAGCCCTAAAGATAAACAATCTTCTTGCTTAAACGTGTTCAGTCTCCACACACATAAACAGCCGTCTTCGCCTCCGGAGACCAACACAGGAAATGTATGCAAACCACTGCTTGGAAACAGCACTGCGCATACGTTCGCTGTATGCCCATTCAGCACCTGAACAACAAACCCTAAACCCTAAACCCTAAACCCTAAACCCTAAACCCTTAAAGCTGAGCATTAATGGTATGGGATATATGCAAAATATATGCGATACGAAACTCGAACAAAAAAAGGAAAGGGAATGCAACAGAGACGTCGATGCCACGAGAACAAACCCTAAACCCTAAACCCTAAACCCTAAACCCTAGAAAGAGACTCAGGAGAAACCTCTCACGAACAACTTCTGAAGTGTTTGAATGCGTTAGGGTTTAGAGGAAGGGTTTTGTCTGTGCAAACCGCCAGCAACGGCGAACAGCAGTTTAGCGACTCCACCGCAAAACCTAGGGTTTAGGGTTTAGGGTTTAGGGTTTGCACCTGAATGCACTGCTTCGTCTGGTAGTCCCATACGCGAACCGTAGCATCATCAGCGCCGGAGACCAAGTAAGGCCGTTCCCCCCTTCAGCAACAAACCCTAAACCCTAAACCCTAAACCTTAAGCCCCAGTCCCTAAACCCTAAACCCTAAACCCTCCGCTGTACTTGGCCTCGAGACTGCAGTGGGGGTGCCGGAAAAGAGTAGCAGCTCATTCTGTCTGAAAAATTTCAAAGTTAAGAAGGGTTTAGGGTTTAGGGTTTAGGGTTTACGAGTTTGAGTAGGCGATGGCGTTGACGCCCCTCTCGTGGCCCAACAGGGTGAAGTGGGGACTGGAGACGATCCCAGTCGATCCCGATCCCGATCCCACTGCCTTCGATCCCGGGCCGACGGATCCGATACCCCACACTTTGATGGACCTGCAACAAACCCCACACCCCAAACCCTAAACCCTAAACCCTAAACCCTAAACCCTTGTAGAAACCGGGCGGCTACACCGCTCCTTCTCTCGCGCTTCGCCTTCGCCTGCGCAGTGTCCCTCTGTGCCGCTTAGGGTTTAGGGTTTAGGGTTTAGGGTTTGTAGCTGACCTATCTAGCGAACAAGAAGCAAAGATAGAGGGGTCTCTAGGGCTCCAAACCGCTTGCATAACGTAGTGAGAATGACCCTCAAATGTACATAGACGAGCCCAGCCATCATCAAGATCCCACAGCTTTATCTGCACTCAAACCCTAAACCCTAAACCCTAAACCCTAAACCCTCAAATGTACAAACACGAGCGCAGCCATCATCGATAGCTTTATCTCCATTGCAACCCTAAACCCTAAACCCTAAACCCTTGACCCTGGACCCTAGACCCTAGACCCTAGACCCTAGACCCTAAACCCCAAACCCTAAACCCTAAACCCTAAACCCTAAACCCTGAACCCGAAACCCTGAACCCGAAACCCTAAACCCTAGACCCTAAACCCTAAACCCTAGAGCTTAGTGTATAAGTAAATCTGACCGTCATATCATCGCTGCTTGAGATTGCGAGTGGCTTGTTGGGGTGTACAGAGAGACTTCGGATATAATCTTTATGTGCGTCTTGAATAGCGAAGATCTTTTTATTAGTGTTGATTGAGAAGCAGTAAATGCAGCAGTCATCGCCAGCACAAGCTACCCATTCTTTTAATGAAATAAAGCATACAGTTCTAAGAGGCAATGATGAAGCTTCAATGTCTACACATACTTCTAGAGAATTATAATTACACAGCTTCAAGCATCCGTCATATAATGCAGATGCTACTAAAGGTAATTCGGGGTGTACAGACACCGCCTTTACTCGGTCAGAACGAGCAAAAAATTGACGAGTAAAACGCCCACACAAACCCATCTTCAAACTGCTGCTGCTGCTGTTGCTGCTGCTGATGTTGCTGCTGTTGCTGCTGCTGATAATGATGCTGCTGATGATGATGATGGTGCTGCTGCTTATGATGATGATATTCTTGCTGCTATACTCCTGCTGCTAATGCTAATTCTGCTGCGGATGCAGTTGTCGTATTCCTGCTGCTGCTGCTGCT